CTCCCTCATCCTCATTCCCCTCCCCTTTCATCCTCACCCACTTCCTCATCCTCACCCCTCCTCCCCACTCCCTCCCCATCCTCCACCCCCCATCCCCACCTCCTCACATCCCACCCACCCGTCCTCCCTCATCTTCACCCCTCCTGCATCTCACCTCTCCCCATGCCATCACCCCCTCGTCCTCACCCCTCCCTCATCTTCATCTCCCCCCATCTCAACCCCACTCGTCCTCACCTCCTCCCTCATCCTCACATGCTTGGCTGCACTGCTGCCCCCGCAGCTGCCCCCTGGCTTGCTCTCACCCCCACAGCTGGTGCCCTCTCCTGACGATTGAGGGAGGGCCTCGGGGCTTAAAGGGGACAGGGAGAGAGCCAGCTCCAGCCAGGAGTATATAACAGGGCCCAAGGCTTTGGGGCTGTGGCCTTTACCGGACTAGCCTCAAACAAAGAGCTTTGAGAGGCAGAGCTTTATAGAGGGTGCAGGAAAGGCCGCTCTGAGGTTTTCTGAAGGAAGCCTGCTTGTCCCAAGGTGCTAAACGGGGGCGGAGGAGAGCAGCTGCGCGGTGGTGCTGGGAGCCTGCGGTCAGTGGGGGAAGCTCTGCAGGGATTCCAGGCAGCTTTCTCTCCAAACCTGAGCTGGGCTCCCTGCACAGCACACCTTGGCTGGAGCTTCTGAGCTCCATTGTCTGGTCCAGAAATCCATCTCCGAGACCCAGGGCCTTAGCCAGACAGCCCACCCCAGGACCCCAGCATTGGCCAGCCCCCTTCCAGATCTGGGGTCTGAATGGCTGGAGGTGGAAAGGGACTGGTTCAAAGCTGGTGGCACTTCCTTATTTGACCAGAGGCAGGGGGAGACTTGACCTTGGGACCGGTGCATCTCTGGTCTCGGGGTGGCCAGACAGAGCAAGATGCGAGGGTCTGCCGGCGCGGTGGCTCATGCTCATATAATCCCACCAGCACTTTGGGGAGCCCAGACGGGCGGATCACAAGGTCAGGAGCATCGAGGACCATCCTGGCTAACACGGTGAAACGCGTCTCTACTAAAAAAATACAAAAAAACTAGCCGGGCGATGGTGCAGCGCCTGTAGTCCAGCTACTTGGGAGGCTGAGGCAGGAGAATGACGTAAACCTGGGAGGCGGAGCTTTGCAGTGAGCTGAGATTCGGCCACTGCACTCCCAGTCTGGCGACAGAGCGAGACTCTGTCTCAAAAAAAAAAAAAAAAAAAAGATGGGAGGTGTCAGGAGACAGGGACTCGCCTTCTCTCAAGTCCCGTGGAGGACCAGGCCGGATGGTTCCAGGCCCTGTAGTTCTCATCTTGGGCTCACACACAGTGCCGCTGCCCGGAAGTCTCTCAAATCCCTTCTGCATAGTCAACTCCTCTTGTCCCTCAGCCTTCTGGCTCTGCCACCTCCTCCTGCCTCCTTTGCAGCCCTGCCATATTGTACTTTTTATTTTCTTTCTTTTTTTTTTTTTAAGAGACAGGGTCTTGGCCAAGCATGGTGGCTCACGCCTGTAATCCCCGCATTTTCACTGAGGCTGAGGATGGGTGAATCATTTGAGTCAGGAGTTTGAGGACCAGCCTGCAACATGGTGAAACCCCGTCTTTACTAAAATACAAAAAATTAACGGGCGTCGATGGCAGGGTGCCCTGTAATCTCAGCTACTCGGAAAGCTGGGAAGGCTGAGGCACAAGAATTGCTTGAACCCAGAAGGTGGAAGTTGCAGTGAGCTGAGATCATGCCACTGCACTCCAGGCGACACAGTGAGACTCTGTCTCAAAAAAAAAGAGAGAGAGAGAGGCTTTCACTCTGTCACCAGGCTGGAGTGCAGTGGTACAATCTCAACTCACTGCAGCCTCCGCCTCCCGGGTTCAAGCAGTTCTCTGCTTGAATCATAAACTTATGATTACAGTCATAAGCCACTGTGCCCGGCTGGGACTGTTTTCTTAATTTCATTTTTGGATTGTTCATTGTTGGCATATAGAAACACAGCTGATTTCTGAGTATTAATTTTGTATCCTGCAACTGCTGAATTTATTAGTTCTAATAGTTTTTTTGTGTGAAATCTTTAGAGACTGCTACAAACAAGATGTCATCTGCAAATGGAAATATTTTACTTTTTCCTTTCTGATTTGCACGTCTTTTTTTTTTTTTTTTTTTTTAAATTATTCTGGCTAGAAGTTTCAGTACAGTGTTGCATGGCAGTGGTAAAACTGCGCATCCTTGCCTTGTTCCTGATCTTAGAAGAAAAGCTTTCAGCTTTTCATCATTGAGTATGATTTTAGCTGTGGGCTTTACTGTATTAAGGTCCTTCCTTCCTTCCTTCCTTTCTTTTTTTGACGAGGTCTTGATTTGTTGCCCAGCCTAGAGTGCAATGGCATTATCACAGCTCACTGCAGCCTCTGTCTCCCAGACTCCAGTGAGTCTCCTGCCTCAGCCTCTCAAGTAGCTAGGACTACAGGCATGTGCCACCATGGCCAGCTAATTTTTGTATTTTTTGTAGAGACAGGGTTTTGCCATGTTCCCCAGGCTGGTTTGGAACTATTGGGCTCAAGTGATTGGCCTGCCTGCACCTCTCAAAGTGCTGGGATTATAGGTGTGAACCACCATGCCTGGCTTAGTTTCTTTCTATTCCTAGTTTGTTTATCATGAAAGGGTGTTGAATCTTGTCAGATGCTTTTTCTGCATCAGTTGAGATGATCATGTGATTTTTGTCCTTTGTTCTGTTAATGGAATATTTCATTAACATTTCTTGATTTTCATATGTTCACTCATTCTTATATGCTAAGGATAAATCCCACTTGGATATGGTATAAAATATTTTTAATGTGCCATTGAATTTGGTTTGCTAGTATTTTGTTGAGGATTTTTGCATCAATATTTTAACTTTTTTTTTTTTTAAGAGACAGGGTCTGTCTCTGTCACCCCAGCAGGAATGCAGTGGCGTGATCTCTGTAGCCTGGAACTACTGGGCTCAAGCAATCCTTCTTCCTTACCCTCCTGAGCAGTTGGGATCACAGCCACATGCCACTGTATCTGGCTATTTTTAAAATTTTTTGTAGACAAGGAGTCTTGCTGTATTGCCCTGGCTCATTTCAAACTCCTCAAGGGCTCAACTCATCTTCCCGCCTCAGCCTCTCAAACAGGTAGAATTACAGGCATGAGTCACTTCGCCCAGCTTACATCAATATTCATCAGGGACGTATTGATCTGTAGCCTGTGGCTTTTTTTTTTTTTTTTTTCTTTGAGATGGAGTCTTGCTCTGTCACCCAGGCTGGAGCGCAGTTGTGCGATCTCGGCTCACTGCAAGCTCCGCCTCCTGAGTTCACGCCATTCTCCTGCCTCAGCCTCCCGAGTTGCTGGGACTACAGGTGCCTGCCACCATGGCCAGTTAATTTTGGTTTTGTAGTTTTTTAGTTAGAGACAGGGTTTCACCATGTTAGCCAGGACAGTCTCAATCTTCTGACCTCGTGATTCACCCGCCTCGGTCTCCCAAAGTGCTGGGATTATAGGTGTGAGCCACCACGCCCGGCCAAGGTTTCTTTAAATGTTTGGTAGAATTTACCAGTGAAGTCATCTGGTCCTGGTATTTTTGTTGTTATTGGGACTTTAAAAAAATTACTGATTCAGTATCCTTACCAGTTGCAGATTTTCTTTTTTCTATTTTTGAGATGGAGTCTCGCTCTGTCACCCAGGCTGGAGTGCAGTGGCAAGATCTCAGCTCACTGAAACCCCCGGGTTCAAGCGATTCTCCTACCTCTGCCTCTCAAGTAGCTGAGACTATAGGCGTGCGCCACCACGCCTGGCTAATTTTTGTATTTTTAGTAGAGATGGGGTTTCACCACGTTGGCCAGGCTGGTCTTGAACTCCTAACCTCAGGTGATCCACCTGCCTTGGCCTGCCAAAATGCTGGGATTACAGGTGTGAGCCACTGTGCCTGGTTGAGTTACAGATTTTCTATTTCTTCATGAGTCAGTCCTGGTAGGTGTTTTGTGGTGAGCAGGTTTATGCAAAGTTACCCCAAAGTTCAAGGTAGTTGAGAAGCTGAAGAAAGAGGCTAACATATCCAGTTTCTTAGAAAGTAACATTTGTTTTTAAAAAAATTTTGGTATTTTTACTTTTGGAGATGGAGTCTCATTCTGCTGCCCAGGCTGGAGTACAATGGCGTTACATTAAGTCCTATATATCAAAAGGTCTTTTCAGGACATCAGAGCACTCAAGCGCATAGCCTCTGGAAACCAGTCAGAACCAACCCTTGATTGGAGGCCTCTTATCAGGAGAAAGTGACTGAAATCAGTTTCTTGTCCAATCAAAGCTGTAGTTGTGGCTTGTGGAACAGGGAAGTCAGTTATCTAGTGTCTGTCAATGGATGAGTTGTAATTGTTTTAATATTGCTTATCTCTAGGCCAGCGCTTGCTTAACTGCCAGAGAAAAAGAAAAACCTTGTTGCAGTTAGAACATAGTTTATATAGTTTATTCTTTTTTTTTTGTTTTTTTTGAGATGGAGTTTTTGCTCTGTCTCCCAGGCTGGAGTGCAGTAGCACCATCTTGGCTCACTGCAACCTCTGCCTCCCGGGTTCAAGCGATTCTCCTTCCTCAGCCTCCCAAGTAGCTGGGATTACAGGCGCCCACCACCACACCTGGCTAACTGTTGTATTTTTAGTAGAGACAGGATTTCACCATGTTGGCCAGGCTGGTCTTGAATTCCTGAGCTCAAGTGAT